CATGTTCTAGTACAAATTCCTTATCTGACACCTGACTTGCAAACACTTTTCTCCTATTCTGGCAGTTTTCTTTTCATTTCTTCTGAAAATTAAAGCATAAACAGTTTAATTTTATAAAGTCCAATTTATAAACATTTTCTTTTGTTGTTCGTCCTTTTAGTGTTATATGTAAGAACTCATTTCTTAACCAAAGGTCTTAAAGATTCAATCTTATATATTTCTAAGAATTTTATAGTTTCACCTTTAAAAATTAAGTCTATGGCTCATTTTGGCTTAACTTTTGTGCATGGTATGAAGAAGGTACCCAGCTTACTTATTTAGCATACAATTATGCTTGTCTCAGCACCACTTGTTGCAAAGATTATAATATTATTCCTGCCACGTTGTACTACCTTCTTTTTCTTGGCCGTGCCTGGCAGCATATGGTATCTTAGTTCCTTGACCAGGGTTTGGACTCCCACCCCCTGCATTAGAAGTGTGGCGTCTTAACCACCGGAATGCCAGGGAAGTCCCACATTGACCTATCTTGATATGTAATTGAAGATCAATAGCAAATGTGAAGGATTAATTCTGGACTTTCAATTAGATAGAGTTCCTTGATCTAAAAAATAAAGAATAGCAATAAGGTTCATTTTTTTCTATAACTTAGTCTCTACTTGTCCTTTGTCTTAGCTGGTGAGACCTCATATATCAGACACATCTGAGACGTGCTAAATTTTTGGTTTGTTTTTGGCAGAAGCATCAAGATGGGTTTTATTTTTATTTTTTTTGTTTATGTCTTGGCTGCATCACACGGCATGTAACATCTTAGCTTCCCCACCCTGGCCCTGGCAGTGAAAACACCTAGTCCTATCCACTGGATTGGCAGGAAATTCCCTTAGAGATTGGTTTTAAATCTTTTTTTCTGCCAATGCTGTAGACTTTTCGTCACTCCTCAGCTAGAAATGCATGTGTGTACATGTGCAAGTTTGTGTATATGCTGTGTGTGCTATGTGTATATGTATATGTATACACATATGCTATGTGTATAATCTGGGCCCTTTTTCACCTGTGTAAATTCAGTGCCATGAACAAGGGTGTGATGGGTATGAGAATGCATGTTCCCCAAGGGCAATATTTCCTTATAATCTACTCGGAGAGGCAAAAAGGAAGCTTCTTTGCTGTTTCTCTGGGACCAGGAGGGAGGATCCTCTGATTCCCATTAACTGCATTGCTCTTACAATGCACCAGTTTCCTTTTCTAAATTTTTAATCTTTACTGGTTGATTTTGGCGGTGCTGGGTCTTTGTTGCTGTGTTGACTTTTCTCTAGCGGTGGCGAGCAGGAGCTACTCTCTAGTTGCGGTGCCCAGGCTTCTTTCTCGTTGCTGTGGTTTCTCTAGTTGCAGAGCACGGGCTCTAGGGCCCACGGGCTTCAGTAGCAGTTGTGTGTGGTCTCAGTAGGTGCAGCTCTGGGGCTCTAGAACTCAGGCTCAATGTTTGCGACACACAGGCTCAGTTGCTCTGTAGGGTGTGGGATCTTCCTACACCAGAGACGGAACCAGTGTCTCCTGTATTGGCAGGCAGGTTCTTTATCACTTAGCCACCAGAGAAGCCCCTGATTTCCTTTTATTTGTTTTTAATTGAAGTCTTTTTAATTAAAATACTCTTTATGTTTTAAGTTTAAAACATTATTTATTTTATGTCCTGGTTTCAAGTGAGGCTCTGCGTCTCCGGACTGAAATCACAGAGGACAAATATTCTATCAACACAGCCTTCCTGCACAGTGATTAAATGTCTGTGGACCTCTTCCCTGAATGGTGAACGGAAGTCCATCACTATGTCTCATGGATTCCTTAGATAGGCACTGGGTGTTTTTAACCAGGATAAAATTTAGTGATCAGGACCTTTCAGGCCCTTCATTATTTCTAGCATGCATAAATTTAACCTTCTTTCAATCAGGCCCAGTTAGTGACGGAAATGTTTGTCTAAAATTCCTGTTTGTTTTAAAAAGGAGAGTGGTCCTGTTGATAAATACCAAGGACGTGTCAGATTCTGTGCTAGTACTGAGGTCAGGGAAAACACAGTCCATCCTGACCCTTCTCCAAATTACAGTTCCCCCGTGGAAGATGGGCAGTTTAATTTTAAGGAAAGAAAGGATGAACTGGGAAGACATAATCCAGACTGCTTATCCTACGGCGTCAGAGAACAGGTCCAGGAAGGAATACCATTTCAGCTAAGTTGGGAAAAGATAAATCTTTTATGATAAGGAGCAGTCCTCCATACCTTCTGGGACCCTCCCCCCCTCACCTCAGATCTTACCACCAGGTCTTCACCTGTCAATCAAGCCCCCAGGAGGGACAATTGTGATGTGTGTTGATTTTCCATCGGGACTCCAAGGAAGGGAAAGGAAAACAAGAAGATCCTGCCTGGTTAACCTGAGCACATTGAGACCCTCCCAATCGATCCACAGGTTTCTTTGTGGAGGAGAAAACAAAGACCACACCTGCAGAGAAAGTCTTTATTGATTGGAACCACGCACAGGGGGAACGAGGTGGAGATGCTGGGAAAGGATTTCACCTGTCTTTCAGAGCATCACCTTCATGCTTGACAGTTCTTGATTTTCTTCACTGAGGTTTCAAAGGCTTGACTGCATCCACGGCCATGGGTGGATGCCCTAGACGGTAACTGAGCATAGTTTTGGGGTCAATGTTAACGAGTCTATTTTGCTTCTCAGTCAGTCCCACGGAGGGCAAAGGTCTCTTTCTCCTTTGCTCTCTGCTCTTCCTGTCTGGATTCTGCTATCTTGCACCGTGCTCCTAAGACTTGTCCTGTCTCTGCCCCTCTCTCACCTTCTCTTCCACCTTGTCTTGGCACTGATCCTCTCCAGATCCTCCTCCTTCCATTTGTCATCCTGCAAACTCTCTTTCTCCTTCCTTCTGGGACTCTCCTCTCTCCATTGTTTGCATTTTGCCTTTGTCTCTTCCTCTGTTTCCATCTTTTGTCCCCTTTCTCCTCGTCATCCTCTTTGCATGTTTCTCCGCATGAACCTCTGCTCCTCACTCTTCCTTCTGCATCTTTCTCCCTCATCCCCTCCCTCCACCTGCCTCCTCTCTCCTCACTGGGCATCTGATTCCACCTCTTTATCCAGCTGTGTCTCTTCCCTGCTCACCCCTGTCTCTTCCCACCCTCCCCGGACACTCTTACCTCTTTTTATGACTGGCAATACTTCCAAGCTCTATCCTGGTCATAGTTTGGAGAGAGTGAGCACCAAGACCCCAAAAGACTTCCAACTCTTGTGCAAGTCTCATATTTCTTGCCTCCAAAGATAAAGGGAAAGACACAATTGGCATAGTCTGAAAAACAGAATGGGTGAAACATTAATTGCGGGAGGGTTATTTTTAATCATATCAAGAGAAAAGGGGGCTTCTCTGGTGGTCCATGGTAGAGAATGCCTTGCAATGCAAGGGACATGGGTTCAAACCCTGGTCTGAAAGATCCAGCAGGTGGAGGAGCTGTTAAGCCCAGGCACCTCAACTACTGAGCTGACACCCTGCAACTACTGAAGCTTGTGCTCCTAGAAACCTGTGCTCCCCACCAAGAGAAGCCACCGCAATGAGAAGCCCACACACCAACCGAGAGTGGACCCCACTCACTGCAACTAGAGAAGACCCAGAGCACAGCAACAAGACCCAGAGCAGCCGAGAGAGAGAGAGAGAGAGAGAGAGAGAGAGAGAGAGAGAGAGAGAGAAAGGGACACGAATGGAACACATGGGGCTGGGTCAGGAGACGCCTGAGACTACCCTCTCAGTTCAGTCACTGAGTCGTATCCGACTCTTTGCGACCCCATGGACTGCCTCATGCCAGGCTTCCCTGTCCGTCACCAACTCCCAGAGCTTGCTCATACTCGTGTCCAAGGCTTCCCTCCAGGAGACAGTTATGGACTTTCCCTCTTCATCCGGGAAGCCAGGTGCTTCTCGCGTGACGACAGGCTGCATGCTTACCATTCTTGGTACAGAATTTCCATCTTCCTTTGTAGTCTGCATCGAGGGAACACCACGGGAATATGGAACCCTGGAATGTGCAGTCAAAATGCTTTTTGTTTCCATAGGTGAATGGGAAAACACATTTTTCATCTGAAAGAAGAAAGACATTGTTTGCTTCTTTGGCACTTAGGGTTTCCTGATGTCTGTCGTAACTCTGGCAAAATCTCCTTTCACTCCTGCCCATCACCCCCAAGTCTGCTGTGTACAGAGCCCCCTGCTAAGCATCGGGGGTGTCAAGATCAATGTGGTGTGGTCCCTCCCTCGGGGACGAGGAAGGCTTCTCTAACTTTGGGAAGTTTCTACTTTATTTATTTATTTTTGGCCAGTGAAGAAAATTTTATTTAGAGATATAAGCCTGTCTATGTGCTGTTCTGCGCTTAGTTGCTCAGTCACGTCTGTCTATAGATACAGAGAAAGTGATATAAAGAGTGACTACTAAGTTGCTCCAGTTGTGTCCGACTCTTTGAGACCCCATGGACTGTAACCAGCCAGGCTCCTCTGTCCATGGGATTTCCCAGGCAAGAATCCTGGAGTGGGTTGCCATTTCCTTCTCCAGGGGATCTTCCCCACCCAAGGATCAAACCTGTGTCTCTTAAGTCTCCTGACCTGGAAGGCAGGTTCTTTACCACTAGCACCATCTGGGAAGCTATAAAGAGTGACTAGTCGACATGTTAGAAAGATATAAATTGGGAGGTTTTGTGTACTGATGTGAATTTGGGGGAGTTTCTACTTTACATCTGACACCAGCTCTGAAGCCTGGACCCTGTGTTCAGAGTCCAGTCCCACCATCTACAGAATGTTCGCCCCCGATGCTGGTGTGGATAACCCCTGGGCGTATGTGTGTGAATGAGAGGGTAACATTGGCCCATGCTTGTGACGTGTCTTGGAGGATCCCCATCACAGTTGCCCTGCCGCACACGTTAGTTTGTTGTACTGGACTGTTCTTATGTTGTCATTCTCTTCCCTTGTTGATTGTCTTAGGTATCTGCGGCAGGAACACTACCTTCAGCTGATTCAGCAGAAGACTTGTCTCCAGTATGTTCAGTAGAAACACCGTTGTTCTCATCTGGCAGAAAAGCAGGAGAAAAGGACACCAATGGAGGAGGAGCAGGAACGAAGCAGGGTCAGGGTTTGGTGGGACAAATTGAGAGAGTAGCGTGGACATATACACACCACCATGTGTAGAATAAAGAGCCAGTGTGGAGCTGCTATATAACACAGGGAGCCCCGCCCAGCCCGCTGCTATCAACCTAGAGGGATAGGATGGTGGGGGGTGGGAGGGAGGTTCGAGAGGGAGGGGATATATATATATACACACACACACACATGCATATGTAAGTGTGTGTGCGTGCTCAGTCACATCCAACTCTTTGCAATCCCATGGACTGTAGCCCACCAGACTCCTAAGCCCATGGGATTCTCCAGGCAAGAATACTGGAGTGGGCTGCCATCTCCTCTTCCAGGGCATCTTCTCAACCCAGGGATCAAACCAGTGTCTCCTGCACCTCTTGCATAGGCAATCGGATTCCTTTACCACTAACCCCATGAGATGCCCATGTGCATATATAAATATATATGTATATATGTACACACACACACACACACACACGTATGGGCTTCCCTCCTGGCTCAGATGGTAAATAATCTGCCTGCAATGCGGGAGACCTGGGATCAACTCCTGGGTTGGGAAGATCCCCTGGAGGAGGGCCAGGTAACCCACTCCAGTATTCTTGCCTGGAGAATCCCCATGGACAGAGGAGCCTGGTGGGCTACTGTCCATGGGGTCACAAAGAGTTGGACACGACTGAGCGGCTCAACACACACTCACACATATCTACATATATATGCACCTATGGCTGACTGGAGACGCTGTATGACAGAAACCAACAAAGCAATGATCCTTCGATTAAAAATAAAAAACCCAAAATGTGACAACAGAAAAATAACAACAACCAAAAAAAGAAAAAAGCAGGGCCACAACCAGAATATCATCTGTAGTGGGACCTGCCCTGCATCTCTAACTTTTATCTTCTTTTATATTTTGAAGTCCTTGTTCACCCTGAAGAGATAAACTTGCTGCCTAGAAGGCTAACAGAACAGGTGAGGGAGACACTGACATGCTCTCACCGCTTGCCTGTGGACCCACGTGGATTCAGCTACAGAGCAGAGACACTGTTGCAGCAGACAAGTCATAGGACCTGCCTGGAGACCACACTGTCCTTCTTGTTTCCCACGACATCACGGAAAACAAATCTGCACGGACTTTTCGGCCAACCCAATATTTCAAACAGTAAACTCTACAAAGATAGGAAAACTCTTCATTTGAACAAGATAACCAACGCTGGGAGTAGGCTGACTTCCCTGATGGCTCAGATGGTAGAGCGTCTGGGACAGTGCAATGGAGATCTAGGAATAAGGCAGCTCCCAAAAATGCCTTTGGCTTTACTGCCAAACTCACCTGGGTTTCAGTGTCATAGAGTTGGTGGAAAATTAATAAAATGTGAAACCCTTCATAGCGTCTTGCCCTTGGGACATACTCAAGAAATGGGAGACAAATTTGTAACCACTATTATTATTACCATGACTTTTACACATCAGTCCATGTCTGGGGCAGGATCTCTCACCAATTCTAGCCCATCTCCCCTCTCTCACCTCCATTCACAGGGACCAGTTGTAGAAACACAGATGCGCCAGCCCAAATCAGAAAGAGCCCCAAACGCGGTGCCATGGTAGGTTGCTCTCCTGTAGCTGACCAGCATCCATCTGCTCCTTTTATAATCGATGACCTCAACATCCCTTCAACCTGATAAGAATCAAGCTCACCTGGACAGGGTTTGATCATTCCCCAGCCTGAGAGCATGAAGTTCAAGTTTATCTCTCAGATGGAAAATGCAGGACATTGGCTGGCAGTTTAATGTCTCCAAGCCTCAGTGGTTTGAAATGCTTTGAAAAGGAGACCTAGGTCCAGTGGTTATGAATTCAGTGAAGCAGCAGTGAGTGATAGCAGGAAGCAAGATCTTAATTCCCTGTCCAGGAATTGAACCTGGGTAGGCTGGATAAGAACCAGGAATCCTAGCCATCTGACAGCAAAGACTAGATTCTAGAAGCAATTTTTCCCTGGATCTTTGCTCCCAGTGAAAAATGCATTTGTCACAGAGGCAAAAATTTTGAATGCAAGTACAAAGTTTATTGTTAGAGACATAGTACAACAGGTGGGAGAGCACAGGGGAAAAAAGTTTAGTTAAGATAGAAGCAAGGCAGAGACACACAACCAGAGAGAAAGAGTGTGGGTGTCCCTTTTAGGGAAGAGGAGCACAGCAAAGAGGCTGTTAAGTCACTTACATAAGTGAGTTTTTCTGGGTGTGTGTTTATCTTTAGCCAGTTATCTGGTTTCTTTTTCTACACCTAACCTACCCTGGGGCCCTCCCCTGGGTGCTCATGTACCCCCTCAGCCAGGATGGATCTCAAGTGAATGCTTCTGGGAGGAGCAAGACTCATTATGGCTTCCTGTTTTCTCCTGACTTTTGACCCATAAGGAGCCTTTCTGCTCACATAGAGTGACTCACTAGTTCCCAAAAGTGGAGCGTTGGGAGTGTGGTGATCCCTTAATCCTTTACTCAAACAGGGATTTTCCCCACTTTGTCCTTGCCTTGATTATTACCTTGACAATTGCCATGAACATTACCTTAAGGTGTTTACAAGAGACAAAGACTGGCTATTAACCTTGTTTTAATGGTTACTTCCACTTCTGAGAGCAAAAGGAGGTTGATGATAAGTGCCTTAACCGGAGCTCATCTATCTCTTGTCTCAGAAAATGCTAACCGTTCTAAGTATCCAGCCTGAAGCTCACTTCTTCATATCCCATGAAATGCAAACAGGAGGCTAGTTGTAAATACCTAACCTGGAACTCATTGATCTCCTGCCTGAGTTAAGGCTCCATGCTTCCACTGCAGGGGACATGGGTTCAATCCCTGCTCAGGGAGTTAAGATCCTGCCAGCCACATGGTATGGCAAAAAAAAAAGAGACAAAGACACTATTGACTTCCCAGTTGTAGAGACCACTGATAGTCCGTGGTGTGAACTGTTTTAGAGTCAGGCACAATATCTGTTAGATTTGCCTAATCAACCACTTAAAGCAAGCAGAGTGCCATGTGACTCTGTAGATGATACTTCTGGATATTTTTGGGGGGAAACTAAGAAACATAATGACTTGGTTGGTTGCTCCTCATGTCACCGTACTAAATGGTGAAAGAAGAAGGTGAGCTCAGGAATTCAAACTTTCAGCCCAAGTGCTGACTTGAGAGTTTCTTGACCCTTTTCTCCTAGAGCTGCATGGCTGAAATCTGGAAATCAAACATAGAACCTCATCTTTCCACTGACAGATTTGGCAACTTGATTGCAATGCAAGTTGAACCCTCAGCCTCTCTATATGCCTACATTTGTTGTTGTTTCTTTGTTTCTTTTGATCACGCTTTCTGTCATGGGGATTTGTTAATTTTGAGACCAGAGATGGAACCCCAGCCCCCTGCAGCGGAAGCCTGGGGTCTTAACCACTGGACCACCAAAGAAGTCCCTGTCTATCGTTTGAATTGTCCTTAGTGTATAGGATTTATGATATAAAACTTTATTTCTTTTTTTGGTCTTCCCTGGTAGCTCAGTGGTAAAGAATCCACCTGCCAATGCAGAGACACAGTTTCCATTCCTGGGTCAGGAAGATCTCCCGGAGAAGGACATGGCAACTCACGCCCTTATTCTTGCCTTGGAGATTCCAAGGTCCGAGGAGCCTAGAGGGGTCCATGGGGGTCACAAAAGAGTTGGACACAACTTAGCAACTAAACAGCAACAAGAACGGCAACATAGCTGCTTAGCTGTGTTAGCTTCCACTGCTGAGAAAAATGAATCAGCCATACATACACACATATCCCCTCCTTTCTGAGTTTGAGTTTCCCTCCCATTAGTCCCTGTCTTAACTTTTTTTTTTTTTTAAATGATTTTCATGTATTTCTTTGTTTTTGCCTGTGCTGCGTCTTCGCTGCTCCAAGAGCTTTTCGCGAGTTGTGGCAAGGGGGGGGCTATGCTCTAGTTCCAGTGTTCAGGCTTCTCATTGGAGTGGCTTCTCTTGCTGTAGGGCACAGTCTGTGTTAGCACAGACTTGGTACTGATGCCGCACAAGCTTAGTTTCTCCAAGGCACATGGGAATCTTACCAGATCAGGGATCGACCTCAGGCCTCCTGCATTGATAGATGGATTCTTTACCAATGAGCCACCAGGGAAACCCTTCCTAGTATCTTTGATGTTAAAAATAACTTCTTGTGGAATTCCTTGGTGATAGAATGGTTAAGATTCTGCACTTTCACTGCCCAGGGCCCAAGTTCAATCCCTGGTCCGGGAACTATAATCCCACAAGCACCATGCCAAAACAACAGCAACAACAACAAAATAAAACCCACCAACAAAAAACCCACCCAAAATAAAACAACAAAAAACTCTTGTTTTAGATGAAAGCCCAGACTCAATGAGAAACTTATACCAGACCTGAGAGATAGAAATAAATGGAGAGAGAGACATAGAGACAAAGAGGGTGGGGGAGAAAGCAAAAGGAGAGAGAAGCCTTTTTTTTTTTTTAAGTTGGGGTGTGGGAACAGAATCAGTGAGAGGCATAGCAGATTCCCAGTCTTAGTAGGAGGATGGAGGTATGCAGGCTGCCAGAGAAGTGGACCATTGACTCTATCCCTTGCTGTTCAGTAGTACTGGTAGGATCAAGAAGGAAACAGCCTTGCTGTTCCGATCATCCTCTATCCAGCCTACCGTAAGTATTAGAAAAGAACCAAATACACAACACCCAATACTGCACAGATGAGGCTGACAGCAGTGTATGAGCCACGTATATTCACAGTCTGGGAAGGAGGACATTGCACGTCACGTGGGGCCACCCAGTGTTTGCACTTAGGTGCAGAGTGAATAAGCAGGGGCTGTAGGCTTATTATTACTACAAAACAGGCTTCGTAGTAACAAGAGGTGGATGTGTCCCCTGGTTCTCTTGGTTTGAAGGAAAAATCCAGTTATGAAAACTCATGAAGTTGATGCAGGGTGGTAATATACATATAGTTGAATCCCTGGGAGATGTCTGGGACTTTCTGATTCGTATCAGGAACATTCAATCTGTAAAAGAGAAGAACTCATTGTCCACCCCTCCTGCTGACTGGTCAATAGTCCAGCCCATGGAACCCAGTGTGAGCACCCAAGGGACTTTCTTATATTCTTGTTTTGTAAATTTTTAAAGCATATATATATATATATTCTTTTTGTTTATTTATTTGGCTGCTCCAGGTCTTTTAGTTGTGTGCACAGGCTTAGCTACCCATCAACATGTGGGATCTTAGTTCCTTGGCCAGGAATTGAATCCGAGTACCCTGACACTGAAGCTGAAGCTCCAATACTTTGGCCACCTGTTGGGAAGAGCCGACTCATTGGAAAAGACGCTGGTGCTGGATAAGATTAAGGGCAGGAAGAGAAGAGGGCGACAGAGGATGAGACAGTTGGATGGCGTCACTGACTCAATGGACATGAGTTTAAGCAAACTCGGGAGACAGCGAAGGACAGGGAAGCCTGGAGTGCTGCAGTCCATGGAACTGTAAAAAGTCAAACAGGACTTAGCTACTGAACAACCCCTGAGTTGCAAAGCAGATTCTAAGCCACTGGATCACCAGCAAATTTCCTATTCTTGTTTTTTTTTTTTTAACAAGATGAAGGAAGTAAGAGGAATAGTTTATTTTTTTTAATTAATTAACTTATTTTTACTTTAAAATATTATATTGGTTTTGCCATACACTGACATGAATCTGCCATGGGTGTACATGTGTTCCCCATCCTGAGACCCCTCCCCTATCCCTCCCCATTCCATCCCTCTGGGTCATCCCCCTGCACCAGCCCCGAGCACCCTGTCTCATGCATCCAACCTGGACTGGCAATTCATTTCTCATACGATAATTTACATGTTTCAATGCCATTCTCCCAAATCATCCTGCCCTCACCTTCTCCCACAGAGTCCAAAAGACTGTTCTATAAATCTGTGTCTCTTTTGCTGTCTCTCATACAGGGTTATTGTTACCATCTTTCTAAATTCCATGTGAAGTCGCTCAGTCGTGTCCGACTCTTTGCAACCCCATGGACTATAGCCTACCAGGCTCCTTCATCCATGGGATTCTCCAAGCAAGAGTACTGGAGTGAGTTGCCATTTCCTTCTCCAGGGGATCTTCCCAACTCAGGGATTGAACCAGGGTCTCCCGCATTCCAGGCAGACACTTTAACCTCTGAGCCACCTGGGAAGCCCATATATATGTGTTAATATACTGTATTAGTGTTTTTCTTTCTGGCTAACTTCACTCTGTAAGTAAGCTCCAGTTTCATCCACCTCATTAGAACTAATTCAAATGTATTCTTTTTAATGGCTGAGTAATATCCCATTGTGTATATGTACCACAGGTTTCTTATCCATTCATCTGCTGATGGACATCTAGGTTGCTTCTATGTCCTGGCTGCAATGAACATTGCAGTATAAACAGTGCTGCAATGAACATTGGGGTGCATGTGTCTCTTTCAATTCTGGTTTCCTCTATGTGTACGCCCAACAGTGAGACTGCTGGGTCATATGGCAGTTCTATTTCCAGTTTTTTAAGAATCTCCACACTGTTCTCCATAGTGGCTGTACTAGTTTGCATTCCCACC